CCATTTAAAGAAGAAAGTTCTCGAGTTTCCATTAAGACCTATAATATATCTTTGAAAAACTTTGAAGCTCTCATATTTTGCTAAGTAATTGTGCGAGAGATTTTCAAGAGCGAGAGAGAAAAAAATGGAAAAGTTAGTCGAAAGTCTTTGGTTTGGTAGAACTGGTGTGGTATGGGAGGATATTGGGAAAGGCTAGATATTCGTTCAAGAAAGAACAGAATCAGACTGTCATCTAACCAGACGAAAACCAACACTCTGAAGTAGAGGTTAGTGTGGAGCGCTCAGGGGAGGCCTAGAGCTCCCTACTAGGTTTCTAGACTAACATCACGAGACTCCCATGCGCTCCCAGTGACAGCAGAAACAAGAAAAGAGGTAGAGAAGAGAGATGTATAAAAAGATCGATTATTCAAATGCGGAGTGCAACTTTGTACTCTGCCTCTTGTTTGTATTTATTGTATTTCACAAGAAGCAGTTGTAGCAACCGTCCACTTCATTTTCGTGCAACTGGAAGAGGGAAATTCCAATCTGCAGATGCAATGGCATCGCTTTACTTCTTAAGAAATGCCCTATGAAAATAAGAAGGCGCACGTCTTTAAAAATTGCAGAGGAGAACGTGAAGGAATGTTGAGGTAATGAAGGACACTACATATAAAGGAGGACAAAATTTTCCGGCTTTAAATGTTTTCAGGAAATGCCCATACGTTTTTCTGCCACATGTATCTTTGAAAGACGATGAGCCTTACGAAGTGAAAAGAGTAGAAGGTTAGAATGCGGACTTTATTACGAGCAGTGGGAAAAAGTTGATCGGTGGCTTTACTGCGTACGAACAGAATTAATTTCGAAATTAAGGGTAGAAAGTTTGCATTAGTGAGAAATTTTTATTTGATATTGGAAAGGCTGCACTAGAACGAAAGTTTTATGTTGCCTTTAAGGTAGGCTGCATGTGAAGCATGCAGTGCAAAGAGGAATTTCGGTACTATTTTTTTTATTGCCAGTTGGGTGGGACTAAGTCCCTTGTACTGCTGCCAAATCTGGCCTATTGTACCAGCCCCAGATGACAGGTGAGGGTGATTGTGGAGCAATTGTTGGAATGAAGATTGGCAGGGGAAGCCGAAGTACTGGGAGAAAATCTGCCCCAGCGCCATTTTGTCCACCACAAATCCCACTTGACCAGACCTGGGATCGAACCCGGACCGCCACGGTGGGAAGCCAGCGACCAACTCCTTGAGCCATGGCGCGGCCAATATCGGTACTAATTTAGCATTTACTCAATGACCTCGGAAAACTTTGATCGAACTGGCATTCAAGATTAAATTTCTTCTCAGTAACATAATAACCGAGTTGATATCTCAAAGGAAACACATTATGTCCCTACAGAGATCGACCGGTTAATGATGTTTAAGGAAACAGTCTCTGTTTATTGTGAAAACCACAAATACACTCCGTGAGCAGAATCTAAACTTTCTGTATTTTAAAACGGGTAGTGTTAATCTACGTGTAAGGAGTGCTGTTTTCTGAGTGGCGCAGTGTAGTTCAGCAGAAATTCAACGAGGAGGGACATACGCCATCTACAGTCTCCATAAGTAAGATATACAAGTAATCAGAAAGAAGTATGGGGCAAGGAATCATATATATATATATATATGCAATGAAACAATCCCTATTTGTGAATTCGAATCATCACACAGGAATCCTGACTTTCAACCACGCAAACCTTTTCAGGACATTAGTAGATCTAACGATATACCCCATTGTTTATAACTTACGGGACCGAATCAGTGGATCTGCATTATAAAGTCAAATGTCGCAGCATATAGGACAATAAGATGTACTTGCTGATGCTTTGAATTCAGATCAGTCTCAGGTAAATAAGAGCCCGGTTTATTTCCATCGAATGACTTTATATGGTATAAAACTCATTTTATAGCCACTCTCGTACTTTCATCCCGTTCTTTTGGATTAAACTGACCTTCCTTCGCAGAGCACTGTTACTCTCCTTCTATGAGAAGACAATGCCACACACTGCTAGAGGGGACAACGCACAAACACAATCACAGATTGCAGACGTAACACATCAACGGGCTTTTTTTTCCTTGGCATTACAGCCCCAGTGGGCCTAGGCCTACCTCCATGAACTTCTCAGTCCACTTCGGTTTTTCTAGATCTTACACATTCGGTAGGACTCCTTGGGTGGGTGATCAGCTCGTCGCAAGGCCTCTGCCTGTACACAAGCACAGAAAAACGCGCACACACAAACTAAACATCCATGCCCTGAGTGGGATTCGAACCCACGATCCCGGTTTCCAAACGAGCGAAGACAGTACATGCCTCAGACTGCTCGGCTACCGTGACCGGCCAAAAACGGGCTTACGAAGAGAAAAACAGGTTGCCGCAATAAAATATCTGAAGTAAAGGATACAGGTCAAAACAAGTGGACGACGCCCCTTGTGTGGTGTAATAACAATTTTACAAAATTTTAAAGAAATTTTAATAGATTTTATTTGATTTAAATTAAGTGAACTACAGCATGTGCTATTTAGCGCATACCAGTTAAGACTACGAATATGACGTTATGAATCAGGAAGCGCGCAGTCGCACATGTGACGAATGGAAAATATTAGTGTAGTGTATCGGTTTTAGTAGAGCAGGACACCTGAAGATGACCATTTAGGGCCGAAGTATGTTGTGTCGAAAGTGAAAGTGAGAGAAAGAATGAACAATTTGTTGCATTGTTGACGGAGTGTACAGTATAATAAACAGTATCAGTAACACATTTTCTTACGAAATACCCCTACACAACTGTGTTATGTCATACAGGGGACAAAATGAGAAACCTTCAGAGGAAATTCTATTATTTGAAAGCAATGACAATGCTGTTAGAGAGAGTGAGGTTATACAATTACACACAAAGAACCCAGTGCATGAGAGTGTATTAATTTAGTTACGGTCAGTGCATGAACTCTAAGCTTTATCTGTCATACTGTATGACATAAAGACGTTATATAATGTGTTAAGGACCTACTATGGATCATTATATCAAATTTACCTGGAAATTTAGTCAACAAACATTTAACTCCATGGAACAGTGTCCTTCTTGAGAAGCTACTCAACTAGTCTACAAAAATCCCTCCTTTTATAAAATCTGAATGTTCATTCCCTTCTTCACAAGATTCCGCTATTGGTCCGTCTAAAGAACTGAATAAATCCAGTCTTCACACTCACACCCAATTTCTTTTAAGATGCATTTTAATATTGTCCTCCTCTGCCTTGGATTTCAAGTGGTTTCTTCAATACATCTAGAAGTAATCGTCCTGTTTCAGACATAATATAATAGGGCATTGTCATTGTCTCATATATGAAGGGTATTTCCGAGAAAATCAGATGCATTGGAAACTGCTGCAACTCAGGACCGTGTTCAAAGCTAGACCTACACTCTCTGGGACACTGATGAAAACTGGATCGATTAGAGATGCCCAGCAGACGAAGCAGAGTGTGTACGGTATCCCATGTGAATGTTGCAGATGTTACATCAGCGAAACAAGCAGACGTCTAGAAATACGCATTAAGGAGCACAAATATAACCTGACACAAGGTCTGCTGCAAAAATCAAAATCAGCCCAACGTGCGTACGAAGAAGCCCACAAAATATGTTGGAAAGAAGCGAAGGTCTTGCAGACTAAACCAAAAGCACATACAGGCAATACAAGGAATCCACCAACGTGTCTCTGGTAGATCATCCGATCAGTCAACCCTGGACATCCCTCTTATCTGGACTTGTGTTGTCACAGTAGGTGTCAAAAACTCAAACTCCGTCCAGTGTAGATTGAGTGGGAAAATTTATTTTTCTAGTGTGGGTGCCATGCCGATAATTTCATCTCTCCGGTGATGATTTCTGTTTTGATAATTCTCTGGTGCAAGGTCTGATACGTGTAGAATTTTTAGAGTTCTAATGTTTTGTCTTAGCTCTCGCAGGTGGTTTGTGCTGTGCTTGGCTTGTATACCCTATCTGGTGCTGGTACAGGTGTCCGGAGTCGATTGGGCCCAACTGAGTAGGTTTTACCTCAAGACGGAGACAGAATCCAGTCTCCGAAACGTCGTATTTTAAATAAAAACAAGACGATGGATAATTTCCAGAAACATAATATTTTTATTCCTCAATAGAAATTTTTCAAAGTGTAATGTTCTCTGTAGTTATTTTCTTTTCCGTCTAACTCTAGGGTCCGAAGGGCTTAATTTGAAATTAATAAAAACTGTCCAGTTTCGACATGCTATATTTTTCCTTTAAATACTGACTGACTTTTAAATAGCCGCTGGTCCTCGTCAGCATAGTAATTCTATATTCCGAGTTCCACGGGACTCATGGCCCTATTTTACTATCTGACGGCTCTGGGAGCCTTCAGAATCTCTTCTTTAGATACCGAATTTGTTCTAAATGTTGCATACAAAATTCATTTCCTACCTCACAGGAAACACACTACGTCTCCGCTACAAAGACTAACCGGTTAATGCTGTTCCTGGAGTCGCTGGTTATTATGAGAATAATATGGAAAGTTCAAACACACTCTGTGGGCAGAATGCAGAGTTAATGTGTCAGAGAAAGTGGTATATATAGTAGTTTTTTCTATTTCTTGGGGTGAGGTGAGACTGAGTCCACTTGGTACGTCGGCCAATAAAAGGCCTATTATACCAGCCACGGATGATAGATGATGAGTGGAGCAGTCGGTGGAACAAGAATTGGCAGGGGAAACCGAAGTACTCGGAGAAAACCTGCCTCAGTGCCACTTTGTCAACCACAAATCCTACATAACCTGACCTGGGCTCTAACCCTGGACGCCGCGGTGGGAAACCGGTGACTAATCTCCTGAGCTATGGCGCGTCCCTGGTACATATAGTAACCAATGGACTTTAAATGCCGTGCCTTTAATGTAGAAACTATCAATTATGTTGCAACTGCTGCACTTACACGCTAAGACAAATACTGCAGTTTTCACTGCCCGTACCTTCTGTCCACGCGCGTCCTTGTAGACGGTCCACTGCTGCAGAGCGTCTCGCCAGTACTCCACCAGGAACTGCTCCGCGAACTCTCGCCCCTGGCCGTTACCGAACCGGCCCTGCGTCTCTGTCACCGTTATCAGGTGAGGACGCATAAGGTCAACTTCCAGGTACTCACGCACTTCGCTGCTGATCTGGGCCTTCGGGCACCAAGCGCCGCCATTCTTCTCTTGTCGTATCCTGCAACAAAAGTACCGTCCCTTCAGTGTCCTTTCTGTTATCTATGATAATTCTGTCTTCAGTTAACTGTCTCTTATAGGCGTTTATACATTGTTGCATTCATTTATGCCGGTCTCAGGCATGTGCTGTCTTCGTGGGTTCGAATCCCACACAAGGCATGGATGTTTGGTGTGTGTATCCGTTTATTCTGTGTCTGTGTTGGCCTGTGTTTAGGCAGAGGCCTTGTGACGAGCTGATCACACGTCGAAGGAGTCCTACGGTCTATAAAATAATCATGAAACTATGCTCCAAAGCGGGACCAAGAAGCGAGAGAAAAAACATTCATTTATGATAGTTAACAAGAAGTTCTGGGAAGAACTAAAGGCTTATTTTCCTTTGATACAAAGTGGACCGCATAGAAAACGACACCTCTAACAATTCTGCGTTTCCGCGGGAACGTGTTTACCAAACCGTTGCCTAGAAACGATACGGGGAGTTACACAGACAGACCCGCAGACTCTCCTTTGACGAAAATGGACCTCACAGAAAACCACGCTTCCAAATATTACTTTACTTTTGCCTGTATTCTTTGCGGCTGAACGTTAAGTGGTGTTACACATACATAGACACATACTGAGATACGCCGTTGAGATGGACTCAGGTGCCACGATATACATATCAAGTTTCATAAAGATTGATTCAGGCATTCAAAAGCTGATAGCGGTGATAAATACGCAGACACACGGACAGCAAGGTGATCTCATAAGTTTGCGTTTTTGTTTTCTTTTCAAAATGAGGGCAAGTGGGCTGAAAATTCACCCTTAAATGCAAGTTATATATATGTCGCAATACCTCGGAGGCATGAGATGATCTTCAGGCAATTCAATATGAAACAGGACGCAAAGAGCCTCCCTGGAGTAAGCCTATCACATACCGTCAGATTATGTAGAGCTGTGCACAAATTGTTCAGAAATTCTCCACCCGATCCGTGGCGCAGTGCATTCAGAGATTTCCATTAGTCTGTCAGAAACCTCAGGACAGAACAGCACCAAACATATTCTGTCATTCCACACTACTGCATAACCACATATACACTGACGCAGAACAGGCTGGCTCTGAGTATCATTAGGCAAAGTGCCGTTAATTAATTGCAGTTTTGTGGTTAACGAATATTCGAAATCCCCCCCCCCGCCATATGTGTACAGGACCAATCGAATTAAATTCCAACTGGCGGGAGGAATGGCTGTAGACACTGTTATAATGGAATTCAATGCGTTCGGTCGCTTCAACAGCGTCTTTGGTGCATGGCGGCAGTGCAGTATTAATGCGCGTCCAATTCACTAATTGATAAAACATAGGAAGCGCCAGTGAAATTGGATATCACAAGGCGTGTACCGGAACCGTGTGGACCTACTATTAATTCAATTCGAATAAATCATTCAAATGTCATTATGCATTGATGCATTATGTATTGATATTTAATCCAAACTTGACATCAATAGCTATAAAACAGTCTTTAAAAAAAACGAATTTAATTTTAAAGAAGTCGAGACTGTATACATGCTCCGGTCTAGAACCCGAGATTAACGGCCGTGGGGATCCGTTGCGCTGACCACGCGACACCCTCTATCCGCAAAAGTTGGCACTAACTTCGCTGACAAGTGGCGGTCGGTCGGTCAATATAGTTCGCTTCCGGACTACAGGCCACGGAGTTCGTTTTGTTTGTATAAATCCTTTCTTTTAAGGGTCTGTAACTTTCCGATTTTAAAATTATCATCAAGCAATTTCTGGTTACCATAGCAACAAACTGTTGAGTGTTAACATGATGCGTGAGGGTGAGTTATGTAGTGGGTCAACAACTAGAAGGCAGTCTTTTCTTTCAGTATATCGTGTATATTTTGTGAGAAATGAAATTTATATGCGGATCTGTAACAATTAGTCTGAGCTACTTTATGACTGACAGTTTACCGCCAATCAGTTCGGCTTGGTGTCAAGCCCCTTAAGTCTTTCTGCTACTGAAACCTTGCGGTCATAGTCCCTATGTAACATGCTCTCCGACGAGAGGATGGGTTTCTGTTATGAATAAGCTTCAGCTATGTCAAGCGTATGTATCAAGTACACGTATTCTTCACACATTCTTCCTTATGCACTATACACAAGTCTTCTGTCAGTCCATGGTGGTTCCGTGAATGTGGATCTCTCAAGTGTAGGGTGCTATAGAAGGGAGAAGAGTTATGTTCGATTATTTGTTCATATTAATTATGGGAGACGGCATAAGCGCCAGCCTCGAATATCATTTCATAATATGTATGTAAGACTGGAAAACAATACAAGAAAAAGAAAGGAGGGTAAGTTAATAGCACGCAATTTTATATACCGAGTAGTCAATCTCTATGTTGTATTCTCGACGGCTGCTACACGACAGAGAGAGAGGGGGGGGGGAAGTGAGTGTGTGTGAGAGAGTGTGAGAGTGAGATAGTGTGTGTGTGTGTGTGAGAGAGAGAGAGTCAGAGTGAGTGTGTAGGAATGACAGAAAGACTGTGAGTGCGTGTGAGAGAAAGAGAGTGTCAGAGTGAGTGTGTGTGAGTGTCAGAGTGAGAGTATGTATGAGAGAAAGAGCGTGAGCGTGAGAGCGAGAAAGTGAGAGTGAGTGTGTGAGAGAGAAAGAGAGTCAGAGTGAGTGTGTGAGAGAGAAAGAGTGTCAGAGTGAGTGTATGTATGAGAGAAACAGCGTGAGTGTGAGAGTGAGACACATTGAGTGTGAGTGTGAGAGAGAGTGAGAGTGGGTGAGTGTGTTTGAGAGTGAGACAGAATGTGTGTGTGTGTGTGTGTGTGAGAGTGAGTGTGTATGTATGAGAGAAAGAGCGTGAGTGTGAGTGAGACACAGTGAGTGTGAGTGTGTGTACAGACGTTCCAAATGTAGCTCCAAATGTGAGAGCGCCAGGCAAGAGATAAAAATGTTGCTCTTGGTCTGACTTTAAACTCAGTGATATAACTCCTAGACAAAGAGTAACTGAGGTCAGAACCCACCGGGAAAGATTTACGTTTTCAGAAGAAAAAAAAAAAAGCAGTACAGACAGGAATTGAATTGTGATGTTTAAGGTTGCTAGTATTATAATTCAGTTTCATGCCTTAGGAATACAAAATGAAAATCCTTAAACGGCATCTACCGTGGGAACCCCCAGGAATTCTCCCGAGTGGTAGTCAGTTTTCGAAGAAGGAGGGGGGGGACAACCAAAATAATGTATTTATAAATTTATGTTTAAGGTATTTAAGACAAATCTTACTTCTCGCCTCGAGATTACTCAGGCTAGAAGAATATATTTCTTTTTAAGTACTTTTAATTTTGCTATTAATATCCGGTATATTGCTTATTTAAAACTTAATGTATCTCCAAATATCCAGATGGAGGAGGGGCAGCAGATACATGACCTGCCGTGCAGAACCAAAGCAGAATTCATTTTTCTTGCATTTTTTTTTCAATGGCTCTTCCAGCCCTTTCAGGACCCAGGCCTCCTATTCAGTTCCGTAATCTGTTTCAGAGACGGTAGGACGAGTGAGCAGCCCGTCGCACACAAACTCAGAATAAACGCATACACACACCAAAAATCCATGCCCCGAGTGGGATTCGAACTCACGATCCCAGTGTCCGAGCGAGCGAAGACAGTTCATGCCTTAGACCGCGCGACTACCGTGCCGGCTCATTTTCCTTGCATACAGGTACCAAACTACTGTACATCAAAATGTAAATACATTTTTGTTGCAGCTTTCTGAATAGACCATGCATGTAATTGTAAAAGTAATCATAATGTTTTAAATTTCGTAGTGTTGACAATTCACAGTTACTATACACAACTTTTATCCACTGTAACAGAAATATGACGATCAATATGTGAATATTACATGTCACTGTGTAATCTCACCAACATTTCGAATGAAATTAATTCCTCCTTCTTCAGGGTAGATTAGGGCATTAAACAAGGAACGAGGAAGAAGCAAACAACACAGATTTCTGCTTTCTTCTCAATCTCTGTTGTGTGCCTTGATCTTCAACCCTTAATACTGAAACAACACGTTCCATCGAAACTTGGTGAATATCTACCGGACTATACGGCGTCACATTGCACAGGATATTACTTTATATTCTTTGCTGAGAGAACAACAAATATGTGTCTTCTCGTTATCAGTTTTCTGTATTTTCTCTGTATTTTCACCGCGACCATCACTGATCTACTGTGCTTCCTCTTTCATAAACCTTTTAGTAATCCTACATTTCGGATGAAATACACGAGGACCCTATTTGTGGAGGCGTCATAATAGTCACCTGTTTCCATGAATTACTGGCCCAGGTGACGAAATCTTTAAGTAAGCTATGGCCTCACAATCACATAGGATATATGTGGCCCATTCAACCTCTTCAAGGTACCTTAAACAAGTAGGATCATCTGTCAATCCCAGTTCGAAAAGGTATTCTTTAAGGTGACTGTGTCCTGTAAATAGTCCTATCGCCCATCTTGATTGGACTCTGTTTAGCTCCAACAGATCCTTCGTACTTCTGGAAGAGAGCCCTAGGATAAATCCCTTTGCCTGTTTGAGTCCAATTATGGCTTCCCAGAACAAAAACAGTAATCTCCCTCCAGAAAAATGCCTGGATGATAATTAGATTAGGCCACGACCGCTTCCATCCAGGTCATTTCCAGTTGATCATCCATCAGTAACGCCTACCATCAGAGCTGGATGCCGAAAACATCTTCAAATAACCCTAGAAATATTAAAATACATAACCATAGCTCCCCACGGAGACCTACGGACTCCATAAAATAAACTCTAAGAACTGAGATCTGAACCCGCGGCCTGCCTGTAACGATTCAGGTTTGCTGCCCACTAGATAGCAACATCAGTAGTAGTGGTGACTGTGGCAAGAGCACGGCAATATATTCTGTAGCATTGATACTGGACTGGAAATGTTTCAACGGCTGACCCCATCTATACAGCCTCTGTGTCTGAGCTGCATATAATCC